TCTTGGGCCTGGGCTTACAAAAACCTGCAAAGAGCCTCAAGACGGCTTTGGACAAATGGTGAGGCAGCCTCATGCAGACTGTCTTCTGGGTTTTGTTATCATTAACCACCCTAGATCGCGGGACACAGGGGAATATACGGGGTAATGGTGCCCTTCTCCCAATCTGTCCCCTGAGCCTGACAGCCTCATCATTTGTGTTATTCCTGTTAAACTCCTTGGAGGGAGGGAAGAAAGGGGGAAGAAGCCTCTTTGGAATATCTTATCTGGAAGGTGTAACAAGTTAACCCATCAACACCTTTTAATTCATTAGTAACCAGCTTTCACCCACTTTGCAGCCCTCTTGGACAGCATCCAACTGTTTCAACTTCTAGCAACCTCTTAGATACTCTTTATTCTGGTATTTAACATGTGGTTTCTTGTCATTATTCAAAATAGTGTTCTGTCGCTTATTTAAAATATTGCTAGCAAAGTGACACCTTCTGCCAAGTCAAACCTGCCACTCCCTACATAAAAACAGCTCGCTCTAAACCCTCAGTAGCAAGAATTAATTCGATGAGAGCTATGAAAACCTCTTAGGTATCGCTTGCTTTTGTGGGAAGTATATTCTTTGGATAAGCAAATTATTTTCAAGCTCTTGCCTTTCACAGCAATTTTAAAGAAGGAAGGTTAGCAATTTAAAATCTGCATTAGAACAGTTTTAGAATTATAGAAAATTTGCAAAGACAGTACAGAGATTGTACCCTACTCCCAGTTTCCCCTGTTGTTAACATCTTACATTATTACAGGACAGTTGTTGTAACATAATATTTAGGTTGTTAAGTACGAAATGTCTGATTTCCTTAAATACTAAGTTTGACAGTTGATATCTCTGACATTTCACTTTGACATTTCTTGTTTTATTTTTATTATTAAGGTACACCCTCAGTCTTACAAACTCACATTTTGGCTTATGATTATCTTTCAAATTTTTTTTAGAGCAATTTTTGTGAAACCATGGATGAGTCAAAAAATTGTATTATTTTCAAATATGAGTTCTATCGTGGAACTAATACAGCACAGAAAGCTTGAAATATCAATGAAGTGTTTAGGAAGGATGTGGCTTATGAACGCACAGTATGTTGATGGTTTGAGAAGTTCCGCTCTGGTCAGCTTAATCTTGAAGATGAGCCAAGTGGGCAACCTGAGACCAAGGTGGATAATGATGAGCTGAAAGCTGTAGCGGAAGCGAGTCCATCTCAACCTAAGCATGAGTTAGCAGCAAGGTTTGACGTTACTATTTCCAACAATGTTGGGCCATTTGAAACAAGTCAGCAAGGTAAAGAAGCTGGATAGATGGGTTCTGCAGGAATTAAATGAGCGTCAGAAGGGAAATCGTCTGGAAGCTTGCCTTTCTTTGCTGTCATGACATAAAGGCAAACTATTTCTACACTGTATTATTAATGTGTGATAAAAAATGGACTCTTTTTGACAATCTCAAGCATTTGGCACAATGGTTGGATGAAGATGAAGTGCCGAAACACAATCCAAAACCCAATGTTCATCAGAAAAAGCTAATAGTGTCTGTTAAGTGGTCCAGCACTGATGTTATCCACTACAGCTTCATGAAACCTGGTCAATGGATTACAGTGGATGTCTACTGCAACAGAGTGAACAAAATGATGAGGATGCTTGTGATTAAGCAGCCAAGATTGGTCAACAGAGACAGGCAAATCCTCTTGCAAGAAAACCCTTGACCACGTGTCCCACAAACAACATTGCTGAAACTACAGCAGCTGGATTTGGAAACTCTCTGTCATCCACCATATTCACCTGACTTTGCACCAACTGACCACCACTTCTTCCAGGCTTTGGACCACTTCTTGCAAGGAAAAATATTCCACTCTCAACAAGCTGTGGGACATGCCTTTCGAGATTTCAACACCACTTACTCTCCAGGCTTCTTCGTTGTTGGCATAAATAAGCTACCGTTAAGATGGCAAAACTGTGTTGACAGTTTAGGTGCACACTTTGATTAATTGTACTGCTTCTTGTTTGAGATATAATAAACTACACTTTTGATTCAAAATCGGACATTTCATATTTAATGACCTAAATTTATATATATATATATATATATATCTCTATATACTTAATTTTTAAACCAGGCTGCTCTGCCTCTAAATACAATGTCATTTTTCATGGGCACAATTCATGTGAGGCAGGATTCAATATGTTGTGATTCTAACTTAGATTCCACCCACAGGAGTCTAGAGAAGAAACTCCTTTGTCATCTGTAAAGGGGAAGTGACCTGCCCTCATGGGCTGCTGTGAGCATCACCTGAGACCTCTGGGGGCAAAAGCCCTTTGCTAACAGTAGAGTTGTACGAAAATCCCTGAATTATCATTTGAAGGTAGTTCTCTTATAAGTAGGGTGGCCATCTACTTTACCACCTGAACCGGGACACTTGAAAGTGAAAACGCTACTAACAGCGATGCAGAACAGACATGCTGGACAGGTGTGCTCTGTCCTGCACACCTGGTGAGGGGGGTCTTGGGGTCTTTGTCAGGAGAAGAGGCAAAACCTGGCCCCCAACCCCAATCTCCCCCAGCAGCACCACCCTGCCCGGATGTGGCTGGTTTTTCGGAAGGCTAAGCTTTGGGGTTGAGGGCTTGGGGGTGCCACCCCTCCTTCAACACACCCTGGGCACAGTGGGGGGCAGCAGGCAGAAGAGACCTGTGGGGGTAGTAGGAAGGGAGGTGAAGGGAGGAGGGGAGAGGAAAAGAGATTGCAGGGTGGAGGGGACCCAGGGAGGAAGGGACTGAGCAGGATTTAAAGGAGAAAGCAGATTTCCTAACTCGGCCTCCCAGCGGGGTTCTGCGGGGAGCTGAAACTCCAGCTACTACATGGAGGCAGCTCATCTCCATCCCCACGCGCTGACTGGCCCCAGGCAGGGAGGCTGGGCTGGATCCCTGTTTCCCCCACTCCCCTCTCCCCAAGCCTCTAGGGCCCCTGAGCACCACCCTCCATGCACAGTGTGCTGTATCCTCCTAAACCTCCCTCTGACACCCTGCACCACTTTTCAGATTCCCAAGTTCCTCTTCATCCGACACCTTCCCTGTGTCAACAGACAGAAATGAGCCTTTGCATGCAGGACAGCTGGTGGTCCCGGCTTCCCACTCCCAGGGGCTGCCCGGTGACCCCACCTCCAGGGGTCTTCCTGGATAGGCAGACGCACCCAGCAGAGGTCCCCCCCCACCTTGGAGCTCTGCGACTTCTAGTCACTACCCCACCGCCTGGGCTGCAAAGTGTTTTGTTATTTGTAGCACTAAAAGAGAAAAGTAGACTGTTTGCCACTTTTTCTCCTTAGCAACGGGTCTGGAGGCGGGGACCAAGTCCTTGCACTGGGTGGCCTCGTGGGCTGCTCCTGGAGCACCAGCCGCCAGCAACCCCCGTGGGGAGAACAGCTCCTTGTAACACAACCCAGCACCCTGGGCCAGCGTGGTGCTCCCGGGGGCCAGTGAGGGGCCGTGCGTGCCCCGTGGGGCTCCCGTGGGGCTCCCCGAGCACAGCAGCAGTGGAATGGAACACACTCATTTGCAAGGGGAGGGGACAAGGCCACGTCCATCTGGCCAAAAGACCTTATAGAATATTTACAAGTGGAAGCAGTTTACTAATATGGATATAGTGAGAATCCCAGAGCTAACCCACTCTTGCCCAGTAGTAAGCTTACTCATGTGGCAAACTCTTTTGGAAAGGTAAATTTCAAATAGCCTCACCTTTTGAGTTATTTTGGCTCATTCACATTAATGACGTTTCACTGTATTGACAATCTAAGACAATAAGGTATTTTGAACTCCGTTACAAATCTGCATACAAACCCCGTCCTGCCAGCCCTTGCCAAAGCAAGTGGGCTGTCATCCGCGGGCCTGCTGTGCGGTCAACTAACCTTTCAGGCCATGGTCTGTGTCGCCCTCCTGGTCTTGCAGCAGGGTGTAGTCGCCCTGATCTTTCCTGTCCCCCAGCCCGTACGTCTCGGCATGATCTTCCATCACGTCGAACTCCTGGCGTGGCTCAGCCATCCCGGTCACGGCTCACCTGGGGAAAGAGAGGAGGGGTGAGTTCCAAGGAATGGCGGGGTGGAATGGGGGGCAGGGGGAACGGAGGTGCCCTGGGTCACGGCAGGTGGATCTCACCCACTCCCCTCTCTGAACAGTCGGACGCCCAGCCGCAGCCTGCACTCCGTATTCCGGCCAAAGCGATATTTATGTTCTGTGCACGTTTAATTCACCAACATCACATAGGTTCACGTTCAACACCACCGGGTGGGGCAGGTTTGGTGGGCCTGACTTATTAGTCCCAGCTTTCTTTTCTTTCCACGTCATTAAAAAATAAATGCTGCTGACAAGTAGTTTATTTGTTTATTTATTTATTTATTTTGAGACAGAGTCTCACTTTGTTGTCCAGGCTAGAGTGAGTGCGGTGGCCTCGTGGGCTGCTCCTGGAGCACCAGCCGCCAGCAACCCCCGTGGGGAGAACAGCTCCTTGTAACACAACCCAGCACCCTGGGCCAGCGTGGTGCTCCCGGGGGCCAGTGAGGGGCCGTGCGTGCCCCGTGGGGCTCCCGTGGGGCTCCCCGAGCACAGCAGCAGTGGAATGGAACACACTCATTTGCAAGGGGAGGGGACAAGGCCACGTCCATCTGGCCAAAAGACCTTATAGAATATTTACAAGTGGAAGCAGTTTACTAATATGGATATAGTGAGAATCCCAGAGCTAACCCACTCTTGCCCAGTAGTAAGCTTACTCATGTGGCAAACTCTTTTGGAAAGGTAAATTTCAAATAGCCTCACCTTTTGAGTTATTTTGGCTCATTCACATTAATGACGTTTCACTGTATTGACAATCTAAGACAATAAGGTATTTTGAACTCCGTTACAAATCTGCATACAAACCCCGTCCTGCCAGCCCTTGCCAAAGCAAGTGGGCTGTCATCCGCGGGCCTGCTGTGCGGTCAACTAACCTTTCAGGCCATGGTCTGTGTCACCCTCCTGGTCTTGCAGCAGGGTGTAGTCGCCCTGATCTTTCCTGTCCCCCAGCCCGTACGTCTCGGCATGATCTTCCATCACGTCGAACTCCTGGCGTGGCTCAGCCATCCCGGTCACGGCTCACCTGGGGAAAGAGGGGAGGGGTGAGTTCCAAGGAATGGCGGGGTGGAATGGGGAGCAGGGGGAACGGAGGTGCCCTGGGTCACGGCAGGTGGATCTCACCCACTCCCCTCTCTGAACAGTCGGACACCCAGCCGCAGCCTGCACACGTGCCACCACACCTGGCTAATTTGTTTATTTTTTGCAGAGACGGGTCTCACTATCTTGTCCAGAATTACATTAGAGGTAGGGGCTGGGAAGCCTGGGAAGGCCGGCCGTGGAGGTGACACGGCAGAGGGCACAGCAGCAGCTGGACACAGGTGGGTTCTGTTTCGAGACGATCTCTGCTCCAGGGAAGAATCCCACCCCCAACTGCACTTTACAAACCGGCGACTCATTTGCGTTAATAAGCTCTAGAAAATGTATTCTCCTGCCCTACTTAACTTTCATTATAATTTGAACTTGTTTTTAATGAATCTTAATTTTTAATGGGCTTTTCAAAGGAGAGGTATTCCCCTTCAGCTTCAGGTCAGGGGTCAGCAAATGTTTCCCTCGAAGGGCCAGACAGTAAGTGTTTGAGGCTTCGAGGGCCACGTGGTCCCCGCGGAAGCCATTCTGCGCCGTGGCTGTCGCGGGAACGCGGCCATTGCTGATGAATGAGCAGCCCGGCTGTGCTCCGATAAAACTTCATCTGTAGACACTGGAATTAGAATTTCATACAGTTTCCACGTGTCATGAAATATCGTTCTTATTTTTTGTTTTTATTTTTCTAATCATTTGAAAATGTAAAAGCCATTCTTAGCTCAAGGCCAGATTTGGCCTGTGGGCCGTTTGCAGGCTCCTTCCTCGGGTGTCTCCAGTATTTCTTCAACAGTAACAACAACAAAAAAATTTGTAAATAAGTCTCAGCAAGAATTATTGCGTGTTCTGGTCACCCCCTATGTTCTCAGTGTGGATTTCCGCACTTCGTATTGGGTTTTCTTCAGCTGCTTCTGGAGGTTTCCATAGGTTCCAAGCCAGGAGTAGGAGAATCAAGGGTCATTTCCAGGACTTGGGGCAGTGCCCTGCTTTTCTGGAGCCAGCGGATGTTCTTCCAGGCTGTGTTTGGCTGGGACTGCTGCATTCAGCCCCAGGGAGCACGTGACAGGGCAAGGAGTCTCACCACCCTGGTTTGTAACAATCCCTCCGCCCCCCCACCCCCCCCACCCCTGCAGGGTGGAGAGAGTCAGATGCATCACTATGAAGCTGATGAATTACAGAGGCCGATGCAGAAATGGAATCATCCTTCCAAATGCAGGCTACTATTTACTATGCAAAATAAACAAGCTGTGCTTCTCAGAGACCAATATTTTCCTTTGAGGAAAAACAGTGGGATTTGTGGGAAGAACTCTCTAGGCAGTGAGGCTCACTCCCACCGGATCCTGGGACAGTGAACGCCCTTAGGTTCATGGACCTTCTGATTAGACTCATGCAAGAGTCCTAACACTCGAGCTGGCTGGGCCAGGTCCCCTGCCCCGTGCTCATGTTTTGGAACCTGCAGATCATGCGAAGAAAGGCAAGCCCATGTTCTGCAGCAGCCATGAGGATCTACCTGACACAGGCAGAAGGCAGAACCCAGAAAGAACACGTCCCTGGAAAGCAAAATGAAATGACTTTTCTTAGTCTTATGACGGACATCGGCGGAGTGTGAGCATGCCGCCTCGCGGGGGCGGGCCCTGCCTGGGTCACGTAGGGCTGCAGCCCCGGGCCTGCGACGGGACGTGCTCCCCGGCACCTGCCAAAGAAGGGGCGCTCGCTCTGTGTGGGCATCTTGCAGGCATCTCAGTGAGCCCGCTGCAATCCTCTGAGGTAGTTGTCGCCATTGTCATCGTCATCATCATCATAGATATTATGATTCCCGGGAATCTGGGAAGTCACCTGCCCCAGGTCACAAGCCAGTATGAGGCAGGGCCAGAATGCCAAGCCTGTGTCCTGCATGGTGACACTCAGCTGCCCTTCCCTGCCCGTTCTTTCACCCTGGACCAGAAAATGTTCCCCAACTTTCTGCCTGAGACGTTGGGGCGCAGGCCTATAGTGCGGAAGGAGCAGTGCGAGGACTCACACCCCCAGCTGGGTGACCAGCCACACCTCTCAACCTTGAGGCTCTTCTTCATCCCCCAAATCACTCGGTGGTCCCCAGCTCCCTTCCTGCACTGACATTGAGTGAGTCCATCGGGCCTGTGTCCTTAGGCTCGGGGGCCGAGGTCGGTGACAGGACAGCAAGAGGCGTCCAGCCCAGGCCTGTGTGAGAGGCAGGTGGGCCCGGCTC